GGAAGAGGGAAGGGAAGAGGGAAGGGAAGAGGGAAGGGAAGAGGGAAAGAAACAGGGAAAGAAACAGGGAAAGAAACAGGGAAAGAAAGAGGGAAGGGAAGAGGGAAGGGAAGTGGGAAGGGAAGAGGGAAGGGAAGAGGGAAGGGAAGAGGGAAGGGAAGAGGGAAAGAAACGGGGAAAGAAACGGGGAAAGAAACGGGGAAAGAAACGGGGAAAGAAACAGGGAAGGGAACAGGGAAGGAAACAGGGAAGGGAATGGGGAAGGGAACAGGGAAGGGAATGGGGAAGGGAACAGGGAACAGGGAAGGGAACAGGGAAGGGAACATCAACACCCTGATGGAGCCACGGATGCCCGACCGGAGCGGGGCCGGACCCACGGCCACCCATCCCGGCGCCGCTTCCGAAGGGTTGTCCCGGTTTGGAGGGCGGGGAGGCGTTGGCAGACCTGGCTGGTGCGGAAGATGAGGCGGTGCTGGTACTGGGGGCCGTGCTCCTTGTGCTCCTCCAGCTTCTCCCGCCGGATGCTGACGGCCACCGGGCCCAGCTTGTCGTCCACGCCAAAGTAGTTGGAATGTTCTGGGGAGGAGAAGAGGGATGAGGGGGGTTGGAGGGAGGGGTTGGGGGGATGTGGAGGGTCGGGGGGGGACGTGGTGGGGACAGAGGGACGGGGGGGAACACGTGGAGGAGACGGGGAGGGACAGGGAAGGGACAAGGAGGGAAAGGGAAGGGACACAGAAAGAACATGGAGGAGACGTGAAGGAACATGGAAAAGACACGGAAGGGACATGGAGGGACACGGAAGGAACATAAAGGGACAGGGAAGGGACGTGGAGGGAAAGGGAAGGGACATGGAAAGGACATAGAAAGGACATGGAAAGGACATGGAGGAGATGTGGAGGGACATGGAAGAGACATGGAAAGGACATGGAAGGGACATGGAAGACGTGGAGGGACACGGAAGGGATGTGGAGGGACATGGAAGAGACATGGAAAAGACATGGAGCAACACAGAAGGGACATGAAGGGATGTGGAGGGTCATGGAGGAGACATGGAAGACATGGAAGGGACACGGAAGGGATATGGAAGGGACAGGGAAGGGACATGGAAAGGACATGGAAGGGACAGGGAAGACGTGGAGGGTCATGGAGCAGAGATGGAAAAGACATGGAAGACATGGAGGGACGTGACGGAGACATGGAAGGGACATGGAGGAGACATGGAAGGGACATGGAGGAGACACGGAGACGTGGAGACACACGGAAGAGACACAGACGGGACGTGGAAGAGCCAAGGAAGGGCAGACACAGAAGCGTCACAGAAGGAGCTGCCACCACATCCCTTCCCCAGCCCTCTGACAGGAGGATGAATGGATTTGGGGATCGGGCAGAGCATCCCAGCCCCCCCAAATTCCACACCTTTCCCATGGAAGTGATCGCGGTAGTAGCGGGCGCCCAGGTCCACGTGCTCCACGCTGTAGTGCTTGAGGCGCTCGGGGTTCCGCTGCAGCTCCTTGGGCACCTCCAGCACCGAGATGCCGGCGTTGGTGGGTCTCCCGGCGTGGAAAGGCTCCGGGAAGGCCCCCTCGACTCCCGGCAGGGCCGGGGCGCCGGCGGAAGCCTTGGAGAAGCTGAGGTCGCGCTCGCCGGCGCCGCCGATCTCGTTGCGGAAGTGGGGGCAGCTGAGGAGCAGCTCGTTGCTGGTGTTGTCGCCGAGGTCGTGCTCCAGGTTCTCCTTGGAGTTGAGGTCCTCGGTGCTGGAGAAGGCGGGGTCGGAGCCGGCGGAGGCGGCCGAGGCGCCGGTGGTGGTGTTGCGGCGCTGGGCGCCGGCGCGCTGCAGGGCGGCGGCGTTGAGGTCGAACAGGATGCTCTGGGCGTCGTAGTGGGCGAAGCTCTTGCGGCACGTCCAGCCCTTCCCCGGCTCCGGCGCCCGCGGCTCCTCCGCCTCCTTCCCGTCGCCGTCGTTGCGGGCGCTCCGCAGCTTCCTGAAGATGGATTCGCCGGCGTTGGCGTCGCCCTTGGGGCAGCGGCGCCGCGCCTTGTCCTTGGGCTGCGCCGGCGGCTCCTCCCGCGGCCCGTTGCGACCGTCCGCCTTCGCCCCGGAGAACGATCCCGGCGGGAAGGCCCCGTCGGCGGCGAGTCGCTCCGGCGTGCCGGCGCGCCGCTCCGGCTTCTTGGTGCGGAACTCGTTGAGCATGTCGAAGAAGCTCTGCTCCGAGATGCCCTGCACGTCGATGGACGAGGTGCTGCCGTACTCGCGGAAGAGCCCGGAGGGCCCCCCCAGCTTGGCGCCGCGCGGCTCCGCCGGCTCCTCGGGGTCGCACTCGCTCAGGGTCACCTCGCTGCTGCTGCGGTGCCGCAGCGGCGCCAGGCCCCGCGCCGGAGAGCGCGGCCACCCCTCCTGGAACTCCACGTCCTTGGAGCGCCGCCGCGCCAGGCGGTGAAGGGCTTTGAAGCCGGACACTCCGGCCAGGGGTTGCTGCTGCCCGCCGGGGAAACCCCGGCAGCCGACGGCGTCCCGGTTGGCCGGCGCTTCCCGGCCGGCGCCGGGATCCTTGGCGTTGGCGTTGGCGGCGTCTCCTCTCCGCGGGGGCCACTCGGCGACGCGGGCGCGGACCCCCATCTTGGGCACGGCCCCGCGCGGGGCGTCGCCCCCCGGCCCCGCCGCCACGGCCCCATTGGGCGCCCAAAAGGCCGCCGGGGACCCCTCGGCATCGGCGCCGTCGTGCCGGGCGGCGCGGTGGGAGCTCATGGTCCCAGCGGAGCCGGGGGGACGGGGCCGCTCATGGCCGGGATGGGCCGGACGCCGGGATGGAGGCCGGGATGGAGGTTGGGATGGAGGTTGGGAGGGTCACGGGCGCCGTCCGGGAGCCGCGGAGCCGAATCCCGCGCCGCCGGCGCATGGTGGGCGGCGGGGCCGGAGCTTCACGCCCGGCTGGGCCGTGGGGGCCGGGCCATCCTGAGGGGGTAAGAGAGAAGAGGGTTAGTGGGATGTGCCTCCCCCGCTTCCCCAATATCCCAAACCCACCCTTTTTAGCCCGAAATCACGACGGAGTCGCCGGTGTGGGCACTGGCCCCTGAGGGGGTGGTGACTCCGGGTCTGGATCCGTGAGGGATGTTGGGAAGCAAAAAGGTTGAGGAGCAGCAGTGGTGGCTCCGTGGGCATCCTGGAGATGCTGGAATATGAGGGTTTGTATCCCTGGATGTTCCTTGGGCCAGCTCGGAATACGCAGAACTTCCTTCCCAAAGGGATCTTGGAATACGTTCATTTGTCCCCATGGAAGTTTCTCCAGTGGTTTTGGAATTTCTGGACTTATCCCTGCTGAGGTTCCTCAGGTGATCCCGGAGATTCCTCAGGTGGTCTTGAAATTCATGGAATCACCTCTGTCGGGGTTCCTCAGCTGATCCCGGAGATTCCTCAGGTGGTCTTGGAATTCACGGAATCACCCCTGTTGAGGTTCCTCAGGTGATCCTGGAGACCCCTCAGGTGATCCCGGAGATTCCTCAGGTGATCCTGGATGCTCCTTGTCTGATCCTGGAGATTCCTCAGCTGATCCCAGAGATTCCTCAGGTGGTCTTGGAATTCATGGAATCACCTCTGTTGAGGTTCCTCAGCTGATCCCAGATGCTCCTTGGCTGATCCTGGAGGTTCCTCAGGTGATCCCAGATGTTCCTCAGGTGGAATTATCCCTGTTGAGGTTCCTCAGCTGATCCCGGAGATTCCTCAGGTGGTCTTGGAATTCACGGAATCACCCCTGTTGAGGTTCCTCAGGTGATCCTGGAGATTCCTCAGGTGATTCCAGAGATTCCTCAGGTGATCCCGGAGATTCCTCAGGTGGTCTTGAAATTCATGGAATCACCTCTGTCGGGCTTCCTCAGCTGATCCTGGAGATTCCTCAGGTGGTCTTGGAATTCCTGGAATCACCCCTGTCGAGGTTCCTCAGCTGATCCCGGGCGCTGCCCCGTTGCTCCTGGCCCTCGTGCCCCTCTCCCCCCGGAGCTTCCCCAGGTGTTCTCCACCCCAATCTTCTCCCGGAGCCGGACAGACGGACGGACGGACAGCCGGGCGTTGATCCGTCTGGGATGGGCATTAAGCGATCCCGGTTAATCCCGGTGGGAGCCGCCGGCTGGGTGGGGCCTTCAATTAACGAGCCCTTAATTAACCAGGGGGCCCCGGGTGGGAGCATCTTCCCCACGTTAATTCCCCGCATCCCTTGGGAAGGAGCTCCCGAGATCCCCACTCACACTTTTGGGGTCAAACCACCCGGTTTTGGGGTTTTGGCATCGACTTCCCCTTCTCCGACTCTTCCCAAGGGAAAACAACACCTGTGTTTGCCTCTTTTCCCAAAAAATCCGGTTTTCCAATGAAAACTCCTCTTCCCGTGGCCGCTCCGGTTATCGGGGAGCCCCAAAATCCCTGTGGGGGTTGATAAATCCTGGGGTTTTTCGCCCCAAAATTGGCAGCTGATGTTCCTCCAGGCTGGGAATTCCCAGATTTCTTCGGGAATCTGAGAGTGATGAATGAAATCCAGCAGGAATATGGAGCAGGCAGGAGAATCTTCCCTCTGGAAACCTCCGGATTATCCAAAACTCGGGTTTAAATCCAGCAGCAAAGGCAAAAATCACCAAATTTAGGGATTTTACACCAAATCCTCGGGATTCTGGGAGCATCCATGGCGCAATCCTCATCCCTTCGGGACACCTGGATCCCTAAATCCTTCCACAGGGATTCTCCTGGGAACTCCACAGATGATTTGGGGTGAAAAACGAGGGAAAAGGTTTCAACACCCCTTGGGGGGGGGGGGGTCGATCCCGCTCCTTAAAAGACTCCAAAATCGGGGTTTTTAAGCCCAAACCCTTCGCTCCGGAGGCGGAAATCCCTGGAAGCGCCGATCCCGAGGAGAGAGGGGGGGGGGAGGGCGGGAGGTTTTTAATTATTAACCACCAGTTTTTTGATAAATTCAAAAGGAGTTTTTAACTCTTTCCCCTCCCTCGGGAGCCGCGGGAGAAAGTCCGGCCACGCCCGGCTCGTAATTAAAAATCCCCACTTAACGACCCTAAACGAGATTAAACGGCCCCAAAAAATCACCGCTGGGGGATTTTTCCCCTCTTGGGCAGCGGGAAAAAAGTCGTTCCAGGACTTTTTTTTGGGGGGAGTGAAAAAAAAAAACCCAAAAATTATTGTTTCGCCGCGGGAAAGGAGTGAAAAACGAAGCCGGACGAGGAGGGAATTAGCGAGTTAATTAATTAATTAAGGGCTCGGTAACTTTGTGATTAATTAGGGGGCGTTTAAAGCCAAATAATCCCCCATTATTGGGCAATGGGAATGTTGTTAAAAGGGGGAAAAAAGCACGGGAAAAGTGGGATGAAGCCGAGGCCGGGCCCGGCTCCGCGGCGCTTTATCTGATGGCGACGGCTTAATTAGCGCTAATTAAACAAAAGGTTTGTCAACACAGCCCCAAATCCAGCCCAATTCCCACTTGCCTGAGCTCCGGCGCCGCCGATATCCGGGGGGGACCCGGCTCCGGGATGGAAAAGTGCCCCGAAATCCCGGGATAATTCCCAAGGGCGGAAGGAGGGAGCTCGTTAAGGAGGGAGCTCGTTAAGGAGGCTCCGCCCCCCCCCCTTAATTTGGCCCCTTGGTCAGGTTCAATGGGGGTTTTTGGGGCTGTGGGAACACGTCGGA